TATAATTCCATAGTAAATTACCATTATTAACACTTTACCGACCGATACCGATTTACCCTAGATTATATGTATATCTACTTTTTCTTGTACTTATAGGAATGTTAAATGAAACTTTGCGACAATGGTTACTATATTGTTCTCTTTCCGTTATTATAGGGTAATTAAATCTAGTGATATTTTTTATTTTCATGACAACCGATTGATAAGCTACCGGTCGGTAATGCGTTAGTCGGTAAAAAGTCGATCAATAGGCTACCGGTCGGTAAAGTGTTAAGAGTCATAGTTCTGTTCCAATATGGCTGTTCCCCAGAGCCTAAAACGTCGTGAATCTGTATTTGAGTGCTAATGAAGGACACAAAAAGAGAAAGAGTTCTCAAGTTTACAAGGTATGGGCGGTAAATAACATCAACAGGATCAAGATGGAAAAAGTCGTCGACGCGGGAAGAGCCGGATATCAGCGATCTCGATCTCTGGCTTCCTCGAATTGGCTCGCCAGCCGGGCTCTGGCCGCTAATTACAATCCAGCGGCGACCGATAATTCTCAAACGAAACGACTCGCGACGAGCGACGAAATAGATGAAAGTCGCTGACCGCCCGAGGCGAGCCACGACGAAATGCTCGACGATATAGTAATTAACCGCGGTGTGTGCAAGGACTGAGCGTAAAACGAAGCGTTATCGCGGGAGGCGCGAAACATCGAGCTCGAACGAGGCGTTGGTCCTCGGAACCGTTGGAAAAAGTGTCACCCTGGTTTTACGAGGTGGTAAAGATGCGCTTGAAACCCGACCGCCCTTCGATAACGCCGGATAGCAATTACACGCGTGATTTCAGATAAGCTGCCTACGCTTTAAATGACGTAAACGTGACCGGGGCGGAGGGGGGTACAATTACCGGGGTGATCGAAGCGAGAGTGATTACGAGAAGCAGCCGTGAAAATTAAGCGCGTCCAGCGGGGATAATTAATGTCGAATGTGAGGCCCTCGATTTATTACGCCTTTAACGATAAATAACACGCGCGAAAAACCATTTACGGCTCAATCAGTGGTCGCGGCGCGATCGTAAATCAAGGGAAACGCGAAAAATCCGCGATGGGGAAAAATGGCGTCGAGCGCCGACGGCCGGGTTGAAATATGGCGTCGCTGCGACGCGCGAAATTTAAATCCTCGCTCAAGGGCAACGCGCGTGTAGGGCCGGATTTTAAACGAATGGAATTATTCTCGACGATAGGAACGCGAGAAATTTACGGGTTTCGGGTGTAAAGATGGCGTTGGTACGATACTAACCTCGATAACTGATCGCGAGTTGGGGATGTTTTTTTTTGATTGGAGTAAATTACGTATAATCACACTGTATTGTAAATATATAATCTAGTATATTAAAACTAAACTAAATAACAAAAGTTTAATATTTTTAATTCGAAGACTAATCTAATACAAAACCTACATATACAGGGTGTTCTAATAACTCTGGGAAAAATTTTAATGGGAGACTCTAGGAGCCAAAATAAGACGAAAATCAAGAATACTAATTTGTTAATGGAGGCTTCGTTAAAAAGTTATTAACAATTAAATTCAACAATTTCAAATCGTTCTGGAAAAATTATTTTCAGTTGCGGGGGGCGATTACAATCATTTTTGGTGAATAGACATACCCCCGAAATCCTACCCATTTTCTAGAAAAAAATTCAGTACGGTTGGAACTGTAAATATTAATAACTTTTTAACGAAGCCTCCATCAACAAATTGATATTCTTTATTTTTGTCTTATTTTAACCCCTAGAATCCCCCATTAAAATTTTTCCCACGGTTGGCCGAACTGCGTACTTTCAAAAATTGGCGCCAACATCGAAATTTAGAACCTTTCCTCCCGACAGATGCGTTATCGAAAACTGGTACGCACGTGCAGTTTTAATGATAATTTGTTCATGGATTCGAGAAAAAGAAAGTCGTAGATTGGCAGTGGATGTTTCTCGTTTGAAACGAGCCGCCCCGTATCGCTTCCGGTTTCTATCTCGAAGGGACAGCTGCGTAGGAAAATTACGCGCGGAGAAAGGGCAAGAGAAGGGGTTAATAAACCGCGTGGCAATCATCTTGGGTCCTCCTGTTGCTCCATTTGCACCACCTACTGCCGCGTCGACTCGTTTATTTTTCGTAACTTGCGTGCCCCGATGCGCCGCGTTCGTTTCGCCTCGTACGCCTTCTTTCTCTGCCCCCCTCCCCCCCTCGCCCCTTCTTAACCTCGACGGAGGCAGAAAATCAATTTTCTGCCTGTACCGCATGGAATTAGCGACGATAGCGCGGCGACGTTTTAATAAACATTCGCCTAATTGCGCGTAGACGCGCGTATCGTGACTCGTTGCCAGGATTCGTACCACTCGGACCTATTCGCCACGGTCTTTAACCATCGATACGGGGAATATCGTCGCGATAACGATGATCGGTCGCGGTACGATAACTCGCCGATAGGTGGAGACACGGTTAATGTACCGGGTGATGGAAATGTTCCTGCGTGAAAAATGTCTTGACGAGCACCTGCGTCGGTGTTCGATCGTTTAAAATCGATACGCGAATATTGAATTGAAACCGTCCTCTACTTCGTCTTGTTTAATGAAATCCGCGGACGGGCCGATAAGCGCGAGTGTATATTTCCGAAGACCGAAAGTTCGTTTGCATAATATAGCGATTTTCATCCAGGAAACGAAACGACATTAGATAACGGGCTTATCGTTATCTTTGCAACCGCACGTGAAACACGTTACTTTCCAGGACCTTTTAGATCCCGGGAGCCGATTCATGCTAACGACACGGCGCTTCCTGCTTCGATTCTGCGACCCCTGGATTAATATTCAAACGGTGTTGAGTTCCGTTTCATGGGAAAGGTCAAAACGCTTACCTGGTCCGCCATCGCTGATATGCAAGTAGGCTCGAAACTCGCGCTTCAACGTAAATTAAATTCTTCTCTGACGGTGTCTAGTAGATAATTTTACAATTTTTATATTCACAATGATATTATCGAGAATGTCGTGGGGGTACTGATGGGAAAGGAAAGGAGAGTGGATGGTACTGGACTTGTCAGTCGAGCGCTTGCGAGAAAGCTAAGAGCGTGGCCCTCTGGTGGCGAGTATTGGAGACAATAAACCCCACAATATTTACAACTGTTTTAACGACTTTAGAAGATTCAGAAATATATGAATATTATTTAATAATTTCAAATGCTTTATTTAAAATAACCTTGATACGACGAAACCAGCGAATGAAGATACAATCTCGGATAATTAAATCGTCGTGCGCGAGTGGACGTTAACAAATGCGCTGTCCAGCTCGTTAGGCGAGAGAAGGAATGGCGAAGAAAGAAGACGAACGTCGAGAAGGGCCCAAAGGGACTAATCCCCCGATAAGCGCAATCAAAGGACGCTTTTGATGCACGAGGAATTGGCACGCGATCGCTATCAATCCCGAGATTCGATCTGAACTACCCACGCACGGTCACGATACCCATTTCACCAGATGTCTCTTTTGTCGATTTCATTTGAATAGCCCGCGTTCGGATCTGCGCGAACCAACCGACGCATAAGCTTCGATCGTCGATTACAATCGATAGTCACAACTTTCGACTACAATGGAAGGATATCGACGTTCATTCGATATCTAAACTCGATTATTAAAAATAATATACTATATAAAAAAATTGTAGATATCAGGTTTCTATTAATAGAATTAACATTAAATTTATTAGTCGTGAATTTGACAGTTGTCAGACGCCATATTTAAAATTCCAGAACCCGTAAATAATATTTTTCAACAACTTACGTCGAATTTGTTCGATACAATGTCACGAATTCAATTTTTATTATTAAATTAAAATTAAAATTTAATTTTTTAATTTCTCAATTTTTTTTTTTTGTGTTGTATTTGATTGATGCAATGGCACGAATACATATTCTAATAAAAATAAAAATCGTATTTTAAGGTAATCGTCAACACGAAAGTCTAGAATATTTATCAATAAATAAACGTGCGATCAGTGCCCGTAAATCTAGTGTTAATGAAATGGTAGCCTCGTAGAGGACTGTCTCTTAAACATAATAATTCGTATCTCTTCGTTTTTTGAAAATGAATCGACATTCGCTGTACAATAACGATAAAAGATGATTCCCTTTCTCGGACGAGCCAGTCTCATGTGTCATTTGAGTACCCAATAACTTTCGTTAACGATCGAAAGTGAAACCCAACGGGATCTTTCGCCGTGAACGACTTCTGGGAGCTGGTTTACCCGGTTAATTCGTTTTTATCTTATCCTCGACTCTTTCTTCCGTCCCGCATTTACACCATTCTTCAGTGTAACGACTACTCTTCTGCTCTTTTTGCGCCGACGTTTGAATCAGGATCTCGCATTCGTCGCCCTTATACATTATGCAACAGGTGGTGGGAGGGGGGGGGAAAAAAAAATATTCATCAATTCCCCCTCCCCCCTTTGTCGACGATACTTAGGTAAATCGTTTGAAAGTAAAATTGTTAACTACCGGATCGTCGTAGAAGAATTATAATCGTCTATGAATACACAAATACGAGACACGTTTGCAATAAAAAAAAAAAAATGAAGATATTTATTAACACAACCAGATGGAAACTCGTTTGCTAAACAGGCGTACAATTAAATGGAAGAACAAGTGTTCGAATAAATTGAGCTTAACGATATCGACGAGACACGGGCCGCCGATCTTGTAAATAATCGCTGGAAACCGGCGAAAAGGAAACGCAAAAATTCCAACGATCCCGGCTCTTCACCCGTAATTTTCAATTTATTGCGTGAAACGATTTACATACGCGGAAGGGCCACGGCGGAAAATTTACGATCACCGACGCGATCAATTATCCTTGATGGACGGCAATCAGCTTCGATTAAAGTCGCTTTTTAATTAAATGCAATTACTTGCAATTAAATCTTATCTAGCCGGGGGAATACTGCGGACGGATCGAGGCGGCCATAAGCGAACGCATTTAAGTCGATTCGTTCGTGGTATCGCGGACACTCGTCTCTTCGGTTTCTTCGGTTTCGTCGATCTCTTCGTTCGAGCGATCCAGCGACACGTACGCCGAACTTAGGCTCGTATCTGACGAGATCGCGTTATTGGGGACCAATCGGATCACGAAGTTGTTCCTCCAGTAACGACGCCATCGTCGCCCGTGCAATCTGGTGTACGGAATTATTATGTTTTATTTAAATACGATGGAACGTCGATTACGGTAAATAACGAGTTTTAGATGGCGTTGGTTGGGGGATCAACACACCTGACCAAAGTTATTACCCAGCCCCAATAAGCCACTAGGGTTAGACCACATGTGGGCAACATGGCGACGATCATCCAGGGTATATCGCGCAAACCATTCTTCAACAACATCGTCATGGCTAGCGCGCAAATGTAGCAAGAGAAAAGGGCCAATGGGGTCGTCACCACTAAGTAGAGTATATCCAGTAACATCTACAAACGAATTTTATGGTAATACTTTCAAAATTTTTGTTAAAATATCACGGTGCTCGTGGTATAAGAAAATGGCGGTAATTTTGAAATTCGTAACTTTTAATGAACTTTACACTGACGGCCAATGTCACGTGTACATACGTGACATTTCACAGACGATGTATATGAATAGAAGAGGTTAGGGAACAACTTTTCGAACATTCTCAAAATTTCTATATATTCTTCGCTAAAATACGCGTTGTTTGCATTTTGAAACATTAAAATCCGAAAATTCTTCAGAAGTTATGAAGAATAGAATTTTGGAGTGACATTTCAGGGTTTGAAATTATATTTTCGGTGAGGAATTTTTTTCTTGAAAATGGTTAGGATTTCAAGGTTATGTCTATTGACCAAAAATGATTGTAATTGACTCCTGCAACTAAATATAATTTTTTCAGAACGATTTGAAATTTTTCAATTTCGTCGAAAGATGTCGGTATCTACTCTAATTTTTTTCTCGAAAGCGCGTAAGATTTCGAGGGTATATCTATTGACCAAATATAACCGTAATTGACCCCTGTAACTAAAAATAATTTTTTCAGAACGAAATGAAATTTTTCAATTTTGCCAAAAATTTCGGAAGCTATTCGAATTTTTTTCTCAAAAATGCATAGGAATTCTGGGGTATATCTATTGACCAAAAATGATTATAATTGACCACTGCATCTAAAAATAATTTTTTCAAAACGATTTGAAATTTTCCAATTTCGTCGAAAAATTTCGGTATCTACTCGAATTTTTTTCTCGAAAATGCATAGGATTTCGAGGGTATGTCTATTGACCAAAAATGATTGTAATTGACCCCTGCAACTAAAAATAATTTTTTCAGAACGATTTGAAATTTTTTAATTTCGTCGAAAAATTAGGCACCCCCCTATTCGTATATCTCGTCTGTGAATATATTAACAAACTCGTTCCGTGGATTTTACTGTGCCGGAAGAGAAGATCACGTATCGTGTTTCAAGTATTCCGGAGTGGAAAACGATTTTGAAGTCTGTCGAACCGTAAGCGAAATAGGAGTTATCTGTTTTGGAAGGGGGGAGGGGTAGATCGAGTGCTAAAGTGGTTCGTTTAAGCTGACAGAGACTGATAAGACTCTTACTTGCCGGGTCACTATTACGGTATTGAACCATATAGCGACACTACGGAAGATGTTGTGACGTGGGACCCTTTTAGTAACGTATTTGTATCCGCAGAGCTCGCACCTAGTGTGACCCGATTCTGTCAGCCATCTTTCCAGGCAGCCAGCGTGTACCAGGGCCACTGTTCCGCGACACCTGTCACGTTCGATCAAATCGTATTAGGATCCAGTCGAGATGCACGTCAATAACGATCCGATTTGCACGTCGGAATGTCGACCCAAATTGCTACGCGTTTCCACTCGCGATCCTTGCCATCTCAGGCAACGATTTAACATTGTATCCAAACGGGAAAGGATTTTTTAAATGGACATTTGGTCAAGCTAAGGTGACCAAGCTTGTTTACGAATAAATCTGAAATGTTACTAATATAAATCTTATAGATTGAAAATTCAATTAAATTGAAAATATATTTCGAATTTCAATTTTCGATAGTGTATCGTTGTAGAAAAGTCAAGCACTCTTTGCGTAATCTAGGCGTAACCTAGATCGAAAACTATCTCCAGGGTGAACTATGCCATTCACGTGATTGATAAATTGCAATAAACATTGATGATAAAGCTCACTTGCAAGCAGAGACCAGAGGACCTACATACGCGTAGGACGATGCGTTGGATATCCGACTTTCCACCCCTCTGATACCCTGGCTTTGCCTGCCGCGCGTAGCTCGATTGTCCTCCATTGTTGGGTGGCTCCCCATGTGACATATTCTGCATATGTCTCCAGAGATTCGGGAATCTGAAGAAGAGACACTCTTTCATACGAGGAATGAAGATTTACAAATTATGCTAGTGGACTCGTCAGTAAGGCTCCTTCCTAGCAGGCCTACTGAGTAGACGGTCGAGGAGCGTATATATAGCAACGGGGGGTCGGTCAAACGCTTACGAGAAAGACAAGAAGAGCGTGGCCCTCTGGTGGCGAGTACGAGAGGTAACCCGCCACATGCAAGTAAACTAGCAGAAATTACGCCTGAGAAATACCAGTCATTGGTACGAGGGTCAGTAGACACCATATTAATAGTAAAGCATCTCAGTCTGTGTCATGAATAACATGTGCATTTTTGTCAATATTCTAAAGAGATTTCGAATCTCATTAGATTGTATTTAAAAAATATTGTCAAGTTGGTACCATCGTCGTTGCCCTTAGAATCGGTCAAGTTCTGCTCGCGATGCTTCTCGTCCTCCTCGTCCTCGACCCCAAAGGGCTGGTCTGCCGTGGATGGTTTCAAATCGGGCGTCTCGAGCCGAAAGGACAGATCGGCGCGCGCATCGTTGAAATTTTCCAACGGCCGAAACTTATCGACGGGCGAATCTGAAACGGAACGAGGTCTCGGGTTGCCAACAGGCGGTGAGTGGGGAGCGAAGAGTAGTCTCGTATAGCTCAGCTACGAGTCCGGTCCGGCATTCTAACCTGTATCGTTCGCGAGATCGTCATCGGTCTGATCGTTTGACATCAAAAAGACGGTGGTAGGATCATCGTGGCCGGTTTATCCTCGCTCTAAGGCCCCGTGAATTCTCCAACCCCGCTATCTGTCGCGATCGTGAGCCACGCTCCTTTATTTCCCGCTGCGCATCGGGCCAGAGACTCGTGTCGCTCTTTCTCTCTCGCGTTCCACCTACCACGGCGCGTCGAATAAATCCATCTTCCGCGCCGTGAACTTCTCCGCGGGTTCTGACAATTGAATGCACCGACGTTCGTCCGTATAAAGCCGCGTGCACACGTCTTTTTCTGCGCGCTTGTATGTTTTTGCTGCGGGGAGATTAATGCCGATAACTTCGAACGTCTGCAAAAATGCTGACCGACATGTTTTCTTAGTTTCTTTTCGACGATCACCGTTTCGAAAAGCTCGCGTCCACGCTTGCAACAGAGATGGCGCTGAGCTTCCACAGTTATTTTCATGCAATTATCTCGGCGCGCGGCCATTTTATTAGCGATTGATTCGAGACGTTTCGAATTATTACGCCGTTATTCAAACGAGAAAAATATTCGACGAATAAATAAATTGCTCGACGACTGACTCGAGTAATGATTATGGTATTTCGACGTTCCTCGGGCAGAGTATTATTAAATGAGGATTAATGAAGCAGTAAAAGAGTATTAAACAAGGAATCGAACGTTTTAACCGACGTAAAATTTTATCTGCCGATTGGCATTAAAACGTTTCGCGGCAAGATCGACGATCAATGGCCGATCGCCAACCGATACGCGTCGATGTCTTTATTTTCGTTTTATCGGTGAACCGAACGTTAACTGCTGTCGGATGCTAACAGCGTCATTTTCTGTCGTGCTTTCCTTACTCGCGACGAGATTACCGGTTTTCTTACAAACAACCGCGGCCCGGGAGCGAACGTTACAAGATTCGATTTGCAAGTTCTTGGCGTTACGCGACATCGAACGACGTTGTTCCAGGCGGAAAAGAATCACGCGACACGTATACAGAACTCTTCTGCGAACAAATGGAACGAACCTACGCGGCATCGGGCGATCGTTATCGCCGTGGATCGTTGCAAAACGATACGGCTAAATATCAATGTCTTGTTTCCCCCTCGAACGATGAGCTACAATGTTGCAAATTATCTCGTGAAACGATTCCGCGGGATCGTTATCGAGAACATTGGCGCATCCATGTTTTTTTCTAATGGGAATATTATACCAACGCGGGGTTTTATTTTCGTTTTTATTTTGCCGTTTTTAGCTCGATGAATATACGTATACTCGGAGGGTAGAAGAACGGTTTCATTCACGAAATTTTCACCTTGCCAGTTGAACGGCGAACGCGTCCTCATTCAAGGCGATTGAGAGCCAAGAAGATCCCGGTGGAGGGGGAAGGAGCTCGGATGGGCGTCCAGAAAAACCTGTTTCTCATTGAAGGGGCTCCCGGGAACGCTAATTAGACGCGTGCCCGGGCGAATTTTCAGCAGGAAGCAGCGACGCGTGGCCGCGATAAATCTCGTGCGTGCACACTGACGGACGATTCGCGCGTACCAGTCGCTAAACGCTTCCGCAATCTGGCGCAGCGTCTCCCAAAACCTTCTCAAATATAGTGCATTCTTCAATTCTTCATTTTTCAATTCTTCATTCTTGACTCATCTTCAGGCTGGGGTTTACCAGTTTTTATTTTAGAAACACCTATGATGTGTGTCATTTTATTCCATCTCTGTCTATAGTGACTTTTTTCTCAATTATTTCGTGTCATTTGGATTTTGAAGGAAATAATTATTTTGTAGTTTAAGGTGGTTCTGCAGAGGATAGGAAATCGTTTTTTGTCTCATGTCTGCTAGAGGACTCGTCTAGCGGGCCCTGCGATTGGTCAGTGTTTTTCGTTGATAATTCAAAAACGAAGCCCCATGCGACATTTTTGCAAAGGAAATTGTTGTTCAGAATCGTCTCAGCTACATTTCCGGTTCTTACACTATTTACGGAACATTCTGTATATGCAAACGAAACATCGGTCGAGCGCTTGCGAGAGAGACAAGAAGAGCGTGGCCCTCTGGTGGCGAGCTCGAGAGGCAATCGATCCCAGATTAGATTTTAAATTATTTGTGGGATCTCCAGGTCCCAGTGATAATATTTTTTATAAAATCACTTATGTGTCAGTTTATTCCATCGATCTAGTAATTTATTTCTAAATTATTTCCCCATTTGGGTCTCGAATGAAATAATTTTTTCGTGCATTTAAAATCGAAAACATTCAAAGCAAAGTGTTCCAAGATTCAATACTAAAACTAATAATAAAATTGACCAAAAAATTAAAAATTTCTGTATTTCATTTTCCTCGTCGGGACACGGAGTTTGGGAAACGCTGCTCGACAGCGATGTATTTTGGAATCGGTTTCCGGTCCCGCGGATTAACTGCGACCGCGATTATTATTAGGCCTCTGGCAACCGATTTTCGGAAGCTCAGTTTTCGGACTTCCGTTGACCCGGTCGCGTTGGCCAGCCATTTTTGTAGACAACATCCAACATCCCCCCCAATAATTACGCCACTTCGGTACAGTTTCGCTCGGGATTATTTCGATCGACGAACAAGAATTTTGATCGTCATTTTCGCGCGGACAACGAGCCCCTGCAGTGGTTTTGCAACAGTCGTTCCCCCGCGTGAGGGGGCGGGGGGGAGATAATAACCGAAGAAACTCGAACATCCCCAAGTTATAAACTATATTTACCTCGTCGTAAGTGCCGATCACGGTGCTGCGCGAGGGGTTACGAGTAATTTCAGTTACCCGGCAGTGTTTCGCGGGATCGGAAAAACCGCGTGCTTAAAAGTTACGAGTACCATAAAGCCAGATGTTGCCTAAAGGGGCGACGTGCCCAAGAATCTACCGCCGTTTAAAATATTTACAACGTGTAGGTAGATGTTTCGAGCTGCGATATCGTGGATGTTAACGTTTCACCGTGGGCGTGTAATTGCACCGAGCTATCATAGTACGCATATTCAACGTTGGTACCAGGGAGAATATCACGGAATATATCCTGGTACGAAGCTTATTCCCCTCGAACGGACCACCGAAAGCAACGATTTTTAATTGTACCGCGTCGTAGCTGGAAGCAGGTGCTGGCTACGGTTAGTTTATTTCGTTGCGTCAAGAGTCGTTTCTACGTGTTGCTATTTCTGCCAGGTGGCGGAGTTGACCGACCGTCCGCCATTTTCGCGCTGGACATTTTTGGTTCAAGATTAATTAAATCCGTCTGGAAATAGTTGGCGATCGCCGCGCCGCTACGGTGTCCCCGCGGACGAGGGGGGGTGAGGCAAGCGTTTCGGTGGCGTAACACCCGATGTTAATCTACTCGTGGTCCCCTCTTTTGCGTGGCGAGCGATCCCTCGACTTTAGACCGCTGTTACGACTCGACCAGGTCGATCGATTTCGTCTCGAGACGGTCGATCGATTTAGTTTTTTGTCAGCCTGTCCTCTCGATGTCCTATTCGAGCATAAAAAGAGTAGACCAGAGGGAATTCGATTTAGAATTTAGGATCGAGGATGTAGGGATTGTTAGGCGAAATGGGTCGAGTTTATTGTTTCGTTTTGTAGTCGAGGACGGACTTGATCCTTCTGGCAGAAGCAATTTAGTTATCTACGACTGCAAATTGGAAGATCGGCGGATTTATGCGGAGACGCTTATATGGCTCCGCGGAGACCCTGATTGGTTCTTTGGATATGTAACGTCTGGCAGATGACAGCTGTCAACGACTCGTTTTTAACGTCTTCTTTGAGGATTTAGATGGGAATATCAGCAAGTATAATTGAGAATCAAAATTGGAGAAGTGTGCTCCATGTTGGAGGACTTCCTCAAATGTTTCTGAAGAGGTTCTTCAAGGTGAAAAATCCTAAAAATTCCTTTTTTAAAAAATGGTCCCTAGGTCTTTTTTACAAAAAAGGAGACGTCTAGTCGAATATTTTTATTTTACTATATTACAATGTTTTTGAAGACGTTCATCAAGGTGAAAAATCCTAAAAATTCCTTTTTTAAAAAATGGTCCCTAGGTCTTCTTTTTTACAAAAAAGGAGACGTCTAGTCGAATATTTTTATTTTACTATATTACAATGTTTTTGAGGAGGTACTTCAAGGTGAAAAATCCTAAAAATTCCTTTTTTAAAAAATGGTCCCTAGGTCTTCTTTTTTACAAAAAAGGAGACGTCTAGTCGAATATTTTTATTTTACTATATTACAATGTTTTTGAGGAGGTACTTCAAGGTGGAAAATCCAAAAAATTCCTTTTTCAAAAAATGGTCACTTGGTCTTCTTTTTTACAAAGGGCACGTTTAGTCGACTATTTTTTTTATTATATTTCAATGTTTCCTCAAATGTTTTTGAGGGGGTACTTCAAGGTGCAAAATCCTAAAAATTCCTTTTTTAAAATATGATCCCTAGGTCTTCTTTTTTGCAAAGAATGGCACGTCTAGTCGACTATTTTTTTTCAAAAGACAAAAGAGCGTCACTGCTGTTGAAGCAGTGGTTCTAACAGAAGCTTAAAGCGAACAGCAGAATGAAAGTGACCGGGGGGCCTCCTAGACGAGGCGAGGATGGACCAAGGCTGGGTCACGTTCAAGCTGAATGGACCTGGAAGCCCATTCATAATCGATATACTTACCTACGAGATCCCATTCGGCCAACAGTGCCAACGTGCGCCCATTCAGCATCGATCTTTCGGTGTGAATGACCCTTTACCACCCAAACAGCTGGTCTTTTCACAAATCAACCATCCTATCATTTTATAAAACTATATTACTCAATGAATTTTGTGGGTTCCAAGTCACGATAGGATTTAATTACATCTACAAACTCTTCCTAGGCTGTGTTTTTCAATATAATGGTCACGGTGCAATATTACCTCGTTATATGAACGAATTTAACCCCCTGATTGTAGAGTCAATATCACCTAACCTCAAACCAAGATGATAGTTATCGATTTCTAGGTTAAAAGCGCCACCTTACGGTTATCCACCAGAATCT